GCCCACATACCCTCCACCCAGCTTCACTAGTTAACAATATTTTGCCAATCTTATTTCGTCTATTTGATTCCTCCACTCTTTTTCTGGTTTTATTTTTTCTGGAGTGTTTTAAAGCAATTACCAGGTTTCTCACAATTTCACCCATAAATATTTCAGTATGAGTCTCTAACAAGATAAAGACATTAAAAATATACTGATAATGCCCCGATTATAACTAACAAAATTCATAGCATTACAGATGCCTGGGCTGCAGGTGTATTTCAGCTGGCCATGGATAAACGTGGTCTTTATGGTCTTATTATGTAAGATTCTCTATGGTCTTTTCAGAGCAATCAACAGAAACTCTTTTACTTTGACATAATTTCAAACTTGCAAAAGGCTTACAAGAATAGTACAAAGAATTCCCATGCAGTCTTTATCCATATTCCCCAAATGTTGACATTTTACCATATAGTGTCTATCCTTCGCTTCATACCTAGATTTATACTTTTTTCTTGAAATTGTAATGCAAATGTGATGCCTTTTTGTCCTTAAAAATTCTCTTAAATAACTACAGTACAACAATCAAACTCAGGAAATGAACATGGATATAGGGCTATTATCTGATCTATAGAACTTACTGAGATTTTTCCAGTTGACCCAATGATGTCCTTCAGAGCAAAAGAAAATCCTGGATCATGTCAGTTATCATGTCTCTTCAGTACTCTTTGGCTTGGAACAGTTTCTGAGTCTCTTTATGTTTTATAAAATTGGTATCTTTGGAAAGTTCTGGTCAGACATTTTGCAAAATGTCCCTCAACTCAGGATTATCTGATATTCCTCATGATATAATTCAGGTTATGCTTTCTTGGCAGGAAGATCACAGACGTGATCTTTAATCCTTCCCGGTTTATCATATCAGGAGGCATATTGCATTGATCTGTCCTATTATTAGTGAGGCTAACCTTGATCCCTTGATTTACTTAGAATTTGCCAGCTTTCTCCACTGTAAAGTTACCTTTTCCCTTTGTAATTAGTATCTTGTGAGAAGATACTTTCAGATTATGCAAATATCTTGTCATTTCTCAAACTCCCTCTTTCATAATTTTAGTATTTATTTGTGATTTTTGTCTGAATCGATACTTATGATGGAAGTCAAATAGTAATTTTTAAAATATTATTCCTTTTGTATTTATTCATTGAGTTTCTGTAAGGAAGAATTTCCCCCTCTCCCCATGTTTTTATTTACGTATTTCAATGTAGATTTGTGATTCTTATTTTTTAAAAACAGGCTGTCATCCTTTGCTTTTATTATTTATTTTGATGCTCAAATTCTGCAAGAGTTAGCCAGTGGCAGCCTCCCTAAACTGGCCCCTGTGTCCTTTTGACATGTCCCCATTATTCTTTGATCACTTCTTTACCTTCTCGTATAACAAGATGTTATGGGCTGATCTCATCCTTTCCCTGCCCCAGCCCTTGAAGCTGCCGTTTCTCCAAGGCACTGATTCCTTTTACAGGAGAAGGGCATTTAAAAACTAAGATCTAGACATTAGGCAACCCCACTGCTACTGGGGTGTCACTGCTTTTAGGCCCTCTTAGTGGACAGTGCTGGAAAATAGATGTCACATACACACACCCACCCACACACACACACATACACACATACACACATCCATCTCTCTATATATATACATATAATATATGTTTTATATAATATATGTCTAAAATTTATAAAATATATAAACATATTAGATACATAATATATTAGAGATATAGATATCTAAAACCATGATAGATTTCATTGTCTTATTATGTTAGATTTTCTAATCCAGAGGCACAGGGTTCATTCTAGTCTTCTCCTTTCCACAATTGTAACTTCGTTCTCAGATAGTGAAAAACCTGGCTCCCACTATCCACAACGTATTACTTGTTCAGAACATAGTTTCAGAATTGCTAACCCACACTGCTGTGAAAAGGAAGCCTACTAACTGCAGTAACATATTTGTTTAAAGTTCTTTTTGCTTTTGGCCTGAGGACACAGTAGTGTAAATACTATATTCAAATATTACTGGGTTAATTTTTTTCCTGGGTAATTATGTTATTCAAAACTGTTCTGTTGAAATGCTGTTCTGTGAATTTGTTTCTGTTTGTATTCCATCTTAGGGGTTTTCTCTATCCTTGTTGATCTTATATTTTATTTGTTTTAAGCATATGAAACATTAACATGACCCCCCAAACCAGAACTGTTCAAAAAGTTATGCTCAGAAAAATGTCGTTTTCCCCAACTCCACAATTTTTCTAATCTTTCCACCCCATTCCCTACCAATGTCCTGTAGGTAACCAATCTCAATAGATCCAGGTTTATCCTTCAGGTGTTTAATTTTGCACAAGTAGGCAGATTGATGATTATTTCCTTGTTTTCCCTTCTTTCTATGAAAGAATACTAAGCATAGCATAAATTGTCCCCTGCACTATCAAAAAACATTTTAAGGCACTTTAGTTTAGTTCTTTCTTGCAGTTTCTAACTATTTCTTATATATCTTGGATCCTCTATGACTTAGCGGGCTCTTAGAATCTTAAATACACTGAGGTGAAACTGTATAAAAGACTAAGACAGTTGTTGATTTTTTTTAAAAAGTGGGCTTTATTCTCTGCTGGACAAGCATTCTCAACTAACAATTCTAGAAAAAGCTCCAAACCCGTTACAGGTGGAAAACACCCCGCTCAAACACCAGATCCTTGTTTCGGAAACAGTTCATCTCTCAGCCAGACGTCCTTTCCTGTTAACAGAGCTGGTCATCCACAAACAAAATAACCAGAGCCTGGAACAAACAGCTTCATGGATTTTTGTAAGTTTAAAGATTTAAAAGTCAAACAGGCAGTCTTTTACCCAAAGCTGCCACTCTCACTTGAATATAACTTTGCTGGCTTACAGGCAGCCCAGTCCTCCTGGCAGAGGTTCTTGGGAGAAGGGGGGCCACTGGGACCCCTGCTTTTCCTGGCAGGTAACAGGATGCACCTGCTCAGAGCTCCAGCTGCCAGGATGCACAGCACAGCTGTTTTTTCTTAGTCTGAATAAGCTAGATTTAGAGGTAACAGAGGGATGGAAGCAGGAGAGCAGAAGGACAATTTCCCATCTGTCTGTTTACCTTTTAGCAGTTCTCCTCCCAGAGACTCAAGCATTGGAAAGGAACGTGGTAGAATCTGTCTCAGATCCCCTAGGGGTTAGCAAGTGGCCCCTGAATACTGGTATAGACAAGCCTGCCTGCAGCCAGCCAGGATGCACCCACAAGCGAAGAATCCAACGGAGGCAATTAACACAGGCCATTACCACTGGCTCCTTTACCATCCCAAGCTTCGTCTAGATTCAGATCGGACTAATCAATTTTTGGAAAATACGTGTAACTCATCTTGGAAAATATGTACAATTCATCTCTGACAAAACTAGACCAATTCAGTGGGGACTCTATCCTGCTCAGATTACAGAACAATGATCTGCCCCATGGTCTGGCTGTGGATTATGAGCTGTAGGGAAACTGCTCTTCAGACCATCCTAGGAAGCAAGCAGGGTCTGGAGAGTGCCCAGACCTCCTTGGTCTGTCCTCTGTAGGATTTAGCCCTGGATAGCTCATGAGACCTGGAATGTCCCTTGCTGTGAATTTCAAATCCAGCCAGAGCATCATAGAGTTTTTCAAGGATGTAACCACAGATGCTGGTGATGGTGAGCTCTTCAGGCCTTCCATAAACCTGGGCAGTACGGACATTTGCCCCAGCCCCCAGGACTTACGTGTGTCACAACCCCATTATAAATAAGAGGGCGTTTCTCACAGGAGCTCCAGACCAGCAGCATGGATGGATGCCCTCTCTCCCGTGTCAATGATGCCAATGCATAAGCAGCCCTTGCCTTGGGGAGACTCCTTGCTTCTCTCATTGCTGCTTCAGAGGCTGGGGGATGTGGTACAAAAAGCGCTGAACTTAGAGTTGGAGCCTCTTCAACAAATCTGGCCTCTGCAACTCTATGTGACTGGAGTCAATTCACAAAGATGACTCAGCCCCCATAGGCTCAGCTGTAAAAAGGACATGATAATAAGGTTAGCTACCTTATAAGAGCTGGGCAAACATTGAGTAACAGAACCATAATTAATGTGTGTTGTCAGAACTATAAAATATTCTTTTAAAATATTTGCCGTCTCTCCCATAAAGTGGACACTTGCCCACTGTCTATTCCAACAGTGCAGCCTGGGGAGCAGGGAGGTGAGCAGCAGTCCCAGCTAACGCTGCAAATCTACCTCCAGGTGTTCATCAGTCACCTACACTGTGTTTAGCACAGAAAACATATAGGACCAGGTTGCTTCTCTCCAGAATTACCATGAATTAGGAAGAAAAAAATGCAACATTTAGGGAGACAGAATTCCGTGTGAGCTGGACTCTTCAGAGAAATCTTTATGGAGAATAGAATGTGAACACTGGGCCTCACAGGGAGGCCAGCATCTGATGAGGTCAAGAGAGAAAGGAAATGTCGCTGCAAGTATTTGGTATCATCTTTTTGGTAAATCAGGATCCTATAGCCTTGAAGGCATAGGTTTTTCACTGTGTATTAGTTATTTCTCAGAGACATCCCTGTAGTCTTGTTAGAGACTGTTACATTTAAAGATGTGGGAGGTGTTGGGAGTGATCGTGGAGTGCCGTGCCCTCCCCACCCAGAGTGAAGCTTGTTCTGGGTACTGGCTTCAGCAGCTAAGCAGGTATGGCATCTCTGCATCCCCTTCTTGACTTTGAGGAAATGTTTGTCATGGGACTCGTATTTCACAAACACCTACCCAGTGCCAGGCTGCACTGGGCTCCTCACAAAGGCCCCATGACATCAATGTGGTTATTGGCATTTTACCGATGAGGCAAGTGACGGCTTAGAGAGTAGCTCAATAGTGTCACACAGCCAGGATGTGAACCCTCTGGAAATAAATGAAGACCACGCAAAGGACAACACACACCACCCAGGGGATTTATTTAGGGGGTATACTTTGGTTTCTACAGGTGTCTCCATGGAAGCCATCCTGAAACTCTTTGGAGAATACTTCTTTCAATTCTGTAAGATGTCTGGCTATAACAGGATGCTACGGACACTGGGAGGAAATCTCATGGAGTTTATTGAAACCTGGATGCCCTCCACAGTTACCTGGCACTCTCTTATCAGGTAAGGTCACTTGAGTCTGGTCTTGGCTGCCCAAGAGGAAGCAAATACTGTGGCAGTCCTGGGCCAGCTCCCCGCCTCCCCCCTACAGAGGTGCAGTTGTAGGAGAACCTTCCCATCTGCAGAATCTTTGGTACCTGGTATTGGTGGGCCCAGGAGTTCTTTTTGGAAGAGAATGAAAAAGAAACACCTGCTGGCCACTTTTATAAACTGGCTCACAAAAACCGAAGGGATGGCCTTTTCAGATAGGGTGCGGTGTTGATTTGGAATTAAATCCTGGAGACTGATTACAACTGGAACAAAGGCTGGAAAACAGTCAGGTTTCAGTGCATTTGCAAAAGCTCTCCTAAGGTTTCCTGGCCAGGATGGAGCTGATAAATTGCGTACGCAGCCAGATTCATGTTATTCATGTATCAGAAGGGAAGATTTGACAGGGCTAAGAGCCAGAATCAGAAACCATCCAACTCTGATTAACCCATGGGTGACCGACTGAGGTGTTAGGAAACTAATTTCCCTACTGGGATATGCCCTCCTGGAGTTCTTTCCTTGGGTTTCTTGTTTGTAGAGGTCACTGGAAATTCAAACATCTAGATTCTCTTTTATTTTTTAGACAAGAAAAGGTGAAAGAGCATTTATATATATCATAATAATAGTTTATTACTTTATAGAAAATAGTTTAATTTTAGGGCCTTTATACTTCACCGAGATCTTCCTACACCATTTCTATCCTGGTGTTCATATCTACCCTTTCCGGGTTGTCATGGGGACAAAATGGGATTGTGGATGTTAAACAGCCTCAACAACCCTTACACTCCCCATAGACGATACATGGGAAAAGTATTATTTTCTCCATTTTTCATATAAGGAATCAGAGGCTTGGAAGCCTTAACTAACTTCAATTACGAGTCATGAATAGTTGGGCATGAATAGCCAGGCCTGTCCTATTGTTATCATGTGAACTAGTCAAGGGTAGAGGGAGTGGAAAGAGCCCTGCTTATGGGGTCAGATGGGCCCATGAGGCTGTCCCACTGGCTCTACAACTTAACAGCTGTGCAATTCCGGCAAGTTAGTTGCCGTCTCTGAATCTCAATGTATTTTATTTAATAATATTTATTGGGTGACCAAGATTTATTGAGTGAGAGTATGTATCAAGCACTTTTTAAGGTATTGGACACAAACAGAGACAAAAAGAAATAAGTAGGGAAAAAAATAACCTGCCTCATAGCAATATGTGGATTACGAGAGATAAGATGTAAAAGTCTCTAGCATTGTAATCAGTCCAGAAAAATCAGCTTTCCTTAAATAAATAATAACTCTATTCCTTCCCCTTTCTTTTCTCTCTGTTCAATATGGCCAGTTTAATAATTACGATAATTTGCATGACAACTTCCTTTCAATTTCTTAGCTAAAGCACAACAATCAGAATATAAAGAAATACAGTTAGGCCCTTTTAATATTTTTATAATGCATATATTTTTTTATTCTATGATCTTTTTTTCTTTGCTTTTTTATAATTTCAATTTTTTGGAAAAGACTCAGAGGGTACAGACGCAGGATTTTTACATGGGTATATGGCATGATGCTGAGGTTTGGGTATGATTCATCCTGACACCCAGGTAGTGAGCATAGTACCCAATAGTTTTTCAACCCTCGACCCCCATCTCTTCCTCCCTCCTCTAGTAGTCCCCAGTGTCTATTGTTGCCATCTTTATGTCCATATGTATTCAATGTTTAGCTCTCACTTATAAGTGGTGCTAGAGAAGCAATAGAATAGAACTTCTCTAGTGGTATTTGAGGACATTTTGCATATAATGAGATAAATAAAATATTTAAATATTATAATATACAAGTTGGAAGAAGATACATGCAATGATACCTAACAGCTATATAGTGCTTTATTCTGGGAAAAGTATTATAGATTGTCTCTTCAGGCAAAAATAACAAATTAAGATAATGTTCACTTTTTTTGTGTCTGTCTAGTAATTTGGCAGTGCCTTTGAGGCATACGTTTCTGGTTATAACTGAGCCTTTAATCTTCTTATGCTTTAGCTAACCTTTATTGAGTGCTAATTATGAGGCAGGTGTTGGGCTAAGCCATGTGTCAACATTGACTTATCTTCCTGATGCCATTAGAGTTGGCAGTCTTATTTTTCCTATTATACAGATGAGAAAACTGAGGTCCAGAAAGGTCAAGTAACTGTCCCCAAATCACCCAGGCATGGTGGCTGAGCTGGATCCAAACCCACACATGTCAAATATCACACGGCTTTAGGTGTACAGCCTTATTTCTGGGCTTTCTATTCTGTTCTGTAATGTTACCTAACAGCTATATCGTGCTTTATTCTGGGCAAATTATAGATTTTCTCTTTAGGAAAAATTGTTTTTATTCTGTTATTCTTTGCCCTGATTCTCCACTTTTAAAAAGCCCTATTTGAAGCAAGAAATAAAAGTATAAGAAATAAAAGTATAAGAAATGAAAGTATAAAAGTACAAGAAATAACTATATTATTTAGAGACTTAGTGACACTGACCAGAAGAACTAAAAGCACAAACTTTTGGAAGTGTCTCTGGGCAGGGGCTAAGGAGGGAGGGGCATGAACAGGATCACGTGGACTTTCTTTTACTTTATTTTCACTATGTAGGATTTGGATATAATTTTTAAATTAACTGTTAATTTCCTATTTTATTGATGCTTTTTATATGTGCTGCCTCAACTACTCTTTACATTTTGTCAAGATGTAAACACACATACATACAAATAAATACATATACTTTCTCTAGGTACACACTTTTGGAATTATAAAAAAAAATAGTATTTGAGGGCTGGGCATGGTGACTAACGCCTGTAATCTTAGCACTTTTGGAAGCCAAGGTGGACAAGATCATTTGAGCCTAGGAGTTTGAGACCAGCCTGGGCAATGCAGCAAAGCCCCCATCTCCACACACACACACACACACACACACACACAAAAGGAGCTGGGCATGGTGGTGGCGTGCCTGTAATCCCAGCTACTCAGAAGGCTGAGGTGGAAAGATCACTTGAGCCTAGGCAGCAGAGGCTGCAGTGAGCCGTGATCGTGCCACTGCGTTCCAGCCTGGGCAACAGAGCGTGATCCTATCTAAAAAAAAAAAAAAAAAAAGATAAAAAAGTATTTGGGGAAAAAAAAGAAACCCATTTTAACTAACAACCTTTCATCACGGAAGACGACAAAGATCTTGGAAGGAACCCATCTCCTTTACCTATTCCCTCATGGCCAAAAGCTGTGTGTCCAGGGTACTGAACTGTCTACTAACTAGCTAGAGACTCCCCCAGGCAAAGTCTCTATTCTTCTTTCCTGGTATACATCTCATTTACTGTGTGCAAATTCTCTGATTCCCTGATGTGTTGGAAAGTGAAGATGCCCGTGGTCACTTGGTCACAGGCCAAGTGTGGCGGAAACTCACTAAGGCTTCCTGTTACCAGCAGACAGCTGCTTTTGGAATATGGGTAGAAACAGCATGGCACGGTGCAAAGGCTCATTTGGGAATCAAATGTTGTTCTACCATTAACCTAGGTTTACCTTCCCTGAGCCTCAGTTTCTTCCTCTTAACATGGAACTGGTACTTGCCATATAGGGTTGTTTAAAGTATAGTAGGTACAGTATAAAATTCCTGACATACAGGAGCAGAAACAGTGGGAATTTTTATGTGATTGGACAGAGGGTTGGGATATAGTTCCGTAGGATGTAATGGATAAATACTATTGTTTCACAAAGCCTCAAAAGCATAATTTACACAATTTGTGTCCACTGGGAAAAATGTCTGTCTTTTAATTAGGAGATGCATGCACCATCGTTTCGTGTGGAGAGAGGAGCAGATGGGAACATGTTTCTCCATTACTACTCAGATAGAAGTGGTCTGTGCCATATTGTACCAGGTATGGAAATGGCTTAGCTGACCGCAGAGCTATGGAGCTTCTGAAGTGAGGAAAGTTTCCCCACAGATTCTCCAGGATGGCTAATAGCTGGCTACAGGGAAGAAGTTAAAACTCTCTTAGAATGTGTGACTTCATATCGTCTTGACCACTGCTCCCAAAGTCCTTGAGCTTTTAAAATAAGTTTCCAAAATTCCACAAAAACAAATAATTTGTATTTTTCTTTCAACGTATTTAAATTATACAGGTTTTTACATAGCTGTGATAATTCTGCATATATTATTTTGTATCAACTCTTTATTTGCATTTAGCATTGTAGAAAAAACATGTTTCCACATAATCTTTAAAACCACATATTAAATGGCTGAATGATATTCCATATTGTGATTATCTTAACTAATCTCCTATTATTAAATTTTCCATTGATACTAATCTTTTGCTTTTGTAAACAATGCTATCATGAACATCTTCATGCATGCTTTATATATATATGTTTTCTTTTTTTTTTTTGAGATGGAGTCTTACTCTGTCCCACTAGGCTGGAGTGTAGTGGAGTGATCTCGGTTCACTGCAAGCTCCACCTCCTGGGTTCACGCCATTCTCCTGCCTTAGCCTCCTGAGTAGCTGGGACTGCAGGCGCCCGCCACCATGCCTGGCTGATTTTTTGTATTTTTAGTAGAGATGGGGTTTCGCTGTATTAGCCAGGATGGTCTCGATCCCCTGACCTCATGATCCACCCGCCTCGGCCTCCCAAAGTGCTGGGATTACAAGCATGAGCCACTGCGCCCGGCGCTTTCCCTATATTTTGTATATAACCCTGGGATAGATGTCCAGAGGAACACTTTTAAAAACTTGATCCTTAATGCTTTTACAACTGAATTTTGCTTACATTATCTCTAGGTTTATTTGTTTGTTTAATGAGTTAAATGCCTACCTGAAATAACAAACGAATGAATAGATGCTAAACTAGAAATTAAAGTGGCATGGATATATTTGGTATCCAAACATATATAACTTCAGTCTCTGCATATTTTTATTTAATTGGCTGTCGCTGATGTCTGATTTGACGCAGGGCCTGGGCTTGGTGAACTTCAGAATATTCATCAGAAGTTTTACAATTTGATTATTTTATGATTTTTGCTGATACAATTGCCTTTGGCCATCCCTCAACAATAAGTGTCCTTCTGCTGCAGGTATCATTGAGGCTGTGGCCAAAAACTTCTTTGACATTGAGGTAACCATGGACATTCTTGACATGAATGAAGAAGTGGAGAAGACAGGGAAGAAGGAGCATGTTGTGTTTCTGAAGGCTCACAGGAAGAAGAGAAAGGCAAAGTCAAAAAGGCTACAAGACAGTCAGGGCATCGAGAGAGACCAAGAGGTACTGGGTTTGCTATGCCTTTAGAAAGAACAGTTGCACTTAAGTAGAGCTATCAGTCTTGGAAAAATCTATGCAAACAACAGAATCAACTGAACCTTTTGATTTTTTTGTTTTTGTTTTTTACATTTTCCTTTGAGTTCTGGGTTACATGTTTTGAACGTGCAGGTTTTTTACATAGGTATGTATGTGTCATGGTGGTTTCCTGCACCTATCAACCTGTCATCTAGGTTTTAAGCCCCACATGCATTAGGTATTTGTCCTAATGCTCTCCCTCTCCTTGCCCCTCATCCTCTGACAGGCCTCAATGTGTGATACTCCTCTCCCTGTGTCCATGTGTTCTCATTGTTCAACTCCCACTTATGAGTGTCTACAGCTATATCACCCTGAACATGACTGATCTTGGAAGCTAAGCAAGGTTGGTCCTGGTTAGTGCTTGGATGGGTGACCGTCTGGACCTTCTAATAGTGGAATTAAGGCAGAGCTTCTCAATTTTGACACAATTGACATTTTGAACCAGACAATTCTTTGGTGTTGATGGTGTATCTTTTACATTATAGTGTCCTTAGCAGCATCCCTGGTCTTTTCCTACTAGTAGAACCTCATCCCTTCATTTGTGGCACAAAAAAAAAAAGAAAGAAAGAAAGAAAAAGAAACATCTGCTAGCATTGCCAAGTGTCCGCATAGTGGGGGTAATGGATAAAATCATTCCCAGTTGAGGATTGCTGGGTTAAGGTTAAGTGGATATATACTGAGAAGCATTCTGGAATGTACCTGAGCCTGGAAAATTGTTCACCTATAAGAATAACCATATGAAGGATTTGAAATTTGAACTTGATGGCTTTTTTTTCAATCTTCCTCAAATAAATTGATCTTTCCAGTCTTCAGGGCCCACTTTTGCAGCTGGAACCATTCATAGGTCCTGAGTCAACTCAAGACCCTGTAGTTGGCCACCTCAGTTGCACCTGGTAGGGTGACCATTACCTGCTTAGGTTACCACGTACATTAGGTGAACAGCTCTCCATGACCATAGCTTGTGAAAATACTCAGATTAGGATTAGTCTGTGATTCCTTAGAGTATTTTCAAAGTCCACCTCAGAGTCTGTTCACTGCGGAATCTTCAACCACAGGAAGAAATGTTCGTGCATGATTTTCTTGCCAGATAGCATCTTAGTTCCGTCTTGAGATTTTCTAAAAAGTTATGGCTTTCTTTGATAGAGAAATAGTATGAGGACTAATTTGATTTAAAAATATCAGGAACGCTAAAATCTTGGTAGATTTGATCTTGTAAGCCCTCATGCTGTTCCTCTGGCCATGGCACAGTTCCTTATTTAAAGGTGGACCCCATCACAGCAAATGGGGTTTGTGCTTCTCCAGTCATGTGACCAGGTGCCTATCTCCCTACCATCTGCAGGCCCTCCAGGCAGCTTTCCTCAGGATGAAGGAGAAATATTTGAATGTTTCTGCTTGTCCTGTGAAAAAATCCCACTGGGATGTTGTGAGAAGCATAGTCATGTTTGGAAAAGGTATGTGAGTGGTTCTCCCAAGCTCAGCTCTGAGATCAGAAAGACTGCTTGATTCTCAGGAGTAGCTGCCAGTGTACACTGACGGGGCCAAGCCCTCTGCGATTATCATGGCACTAGTTTCTGCAACACTTGGATTTGGCGGCCATGGTTTTTAACTTTAAAATGCCAGACTCTAATTGTCCTTCCAATGCCTCTCATTATTTGTGCTGGGTCACATGGAGACATCGTCTCTCCTGTCCTAAGAAAAAGTGTTTGGAGACACAATTGGAATCACTCCAATTGTGTGGCGAGAAGGAAGATGAGCACTGATGTGCCATCAGGAACAATGAATTTTCCACAGCTCCTCTTCTGCAGTCAGGCCTTCTCCATTTGGACACATTTCTGGACTGGAGATCTGTGGATAACAACCCTAGTCACCCAGCAAGGCCACTAGATCAAGAGCCAAGAAAGCAAGTTTCTGGCTCTGTGCCTAAGGAGCTGTGTGACCCTGGACAAGAGTCTCCATCTTCTCATTTGCAAAATGCAGGCATTAGGCTACTAAGGTAGCCCCGTGGGCACTGAGCCGGTCTAACAATTAGCACCTAACGCCTGAGTCTGAATGAGGGCTCTGATCCACTGGGAGAAGGGAGTTAGGGTGCTCTGTGTCACGGCTCAATGGGCCAGGTGACACGCATCTGGGAGAAGGTCTGCAGGGCTCAAAGGGCTGCATTTTGCGTCCTTCAAGCCATGGCAAGTGAGTCAAACATGCAATTGACATCCTTTGTCTAGGAGATTTTCATATCAAAAAGGCTCCATTTCGAATCTCTACCCCCTGCCAAATAGGACTGTTGGTTAAATTTTCACGTGCCACCCAAAACTGTCAGTCTAAAAAGCTCCATGGCAAATGTCCCTGATGCTGGGCCCGGAGCACACGCTCTGCTCTGCTGGCTCATTGTCTGGCTGTCACCATTTCAATGCCGACTCTGTGTTCATGGCGAGACATACTCAATTGGCCCAGAAACTCTTCAGCGGCAGGCAGAAACTTGGCAGGGGGCAGAAGGGCTTCTCAACCTGGTAGCAAGTTTTCTGTTTGTTTTAATTTGGAAGAAGAATTGCCGTGGCCATCTGGAGATGCTGAGGGAGCCCATGCAAAAGAAGTGGGATTGCACTTTGCTTGTGAAACACTTAAGATACTATCCCTATCCTGAGCTCTGCTCTGTGCAAGGGTGGCGGCAGGGGCTGCTTCTCATCAGCACTTTCTCTACGTCCAGGGCATCTCATGAATGCCTTTGAGCCCATTTATCCTAAGAGACTCTGGATTGAAGAGAAGACATTCTGCAACGCTTTTCCTTTCCACATTGTATTTGATGAATCAGTAAGAGACTCTTCCCTCTATAGTTTGGGATTGGGGCTAAGCCAGGGAAGTGAGCATGATTTATAGTCCGTCATGAATAGTGGAGATTTTCAAGTTCCTGAGAAATCCCCAGGACTTGGGAGACTAGGCTTTACCCTGGCAGGACTATTGATTTCCTTTTCGTATTGTGGTATCCTCCAGAATCCAGAATGCAGGAGCTTCTTGATAGGGTAGAAAGGGAGGTTTGAACTAGTAAAAGCATAGGAAAGTTTACCATTAGAAAAAAGGGGAAAAGGAAGTGACACTAAAATTCACTACATAAACAGACAGCGAACACAATCAGTGGCAATGATAGGGTGGAATTCTACCCATGAATTCTTCCCATCCTTGTGGCCACCAGGTATGTCTCCATCCCACCCAGCTTCACATTCTGCATCTTGAACATGGGGAAAGGGTCATGCCAACTCAAGCCACTGCTCTGTGAGAGTTGTGAGCATAACTATTTAAGTTTGATAGTTAATCCATTTTCATGGATAAAATATATGTCAACTGAATTGATTAGGAACTCATTAAAAGGACACCTATTTTACTTCCTCCTTCTGTGTGTTCACTGGAGATAGCAGTGAAAGGCATCCCCCCACCCCCTTGATGAATTTCTTCATCCAGACCTGGGTAATAGATCCAATGCTATAGAATTTGCTAGTTTCTTCATTAGCAAATGAGAGAGAGAGAGAGAGTTGTCTCAGAGCTAGGGAGGAACTATTAGCCCAATAGAGAGCTGTAACCTCATTTCTCTTTAGTCAGAAATAAGCCTCTGAGCACTCTCATACTATTCTTTTCTCTCTCAAACATTAGCACAGATTTGATTGTTTCAAAAAAAATTATTACTTCCACGATGTTGATTCCATTACTGACCCCCTTCCCGACAGTGAGCCACAGAACATGGCTAGAACATTATTTCCAAGGGGAAGTTTATGGGGAGGGGGGGTCACCTTCTATTCCTGTCTTATATCTGTCTTCTGTGGATAGCTACAGGTGAAGCAAGCTGGAGTGAACATTCAGAAGTACGTGCCAGGACTCCAAACCCAGAAGATTCAACTGGACGAGTATTTCTCCATCATTCATCCTCAAGTTACCTTCAACATTTTCAGCATCTGCAAATTTATCAACAGTCCATTTGTCCTGAAGACACGAAGAGAAATGATGCCTGTAGCATGGTAAAGTCAGACCACACTCAAATTTCGAGGTAATCACTCACTCCTTTCCTGTTGCTCCCTGCCTGTTTGAGAGATTGATCAGAAAGGGAAGACGCAAAGTTTTCCAATTTCCAAAAAAGTGGGGTAGGGGCTACGTTGAGAACACATTTTCTTTTTTCTGACCTTTCCACTTGACTTGATCTGTAAAGAATGTATTTTATTTCCTCCACCATCTCTGGTTTAGACATAAACTATATATAATATAGTTACATACATAATTATAAAATTATATACATTATGTAACTATAAAATTCTGATGTTACCAAAATTTTCAGAATGCATGAGGTACTATTGGTATTAAATTAATGTCTGTATTTTATATAGTAACATGATCATCTAACTCACTGTTAGTAGGGCACACGTTTTGTTTTTAATTGAGTAAAATTTACATAACAAAATTTACCATTTTAATAATTTGTAAATGTACAGTTCATTGATATTAAGCACATTCACATGTTGTACTACCTTCACTACCACCCATCTCCAGAACCTTTTTTATATTGTGCAAAACTGAAACTCTACCTATTAAGCAATAACTCATTTGTCCTTCCTCAATTCCCTAGCAACCAGCATTCTACCTTCTGTTCCTATGAATTTGACAAGTCTAGATACCTCATATAAGTGGAATAATACAGTACCTGTCCTTTTGTGACTGGCCTATTTCAATTAGCATAATGTTTTTAAAGTTCATCCATAATGTAGCATGTGTCCGAACTTCCTGCCTTTTTAAGGCTGAATAGTATTCCATTGTATGAATATACAACATTTTCTGTATCCATTCACCCATCAATGGACACTTGAGTTTCTTCCACCACTTTGCTATTGTGAATAATACTACTACTATAAGTGTGGGTGTACAAATGTCTCTTTGAGTCCCTGCCATCATTTATTTGGAATATATGTCCAGAAGTGGCATTGCTGGATTTTATGGTAATTCTATTTTTAATTTATTAAAATTAGGAACTTCCATACTGGTTTTCATAGTGGCTGCTCTATGTTACATTCCCATCAAAATGGATGAGTGTTCCAATTTCTCCACATCCTCATGAACACTTATTGTCTGCTTTTTAAAAAATAGTAGCCATCTTAATGGGTGTGAAGTGGTATCTCATTGTGCTTTCAATTTGCGTTTCTCTAATGATTATTGATATTGAGCATCTTTAATGGCCATTTCTACTTATTCTTCAGAAAAATATCTATTCAAGTCTTCTGTCCATTTTTAATTGGGTTGTTTGCTTTTGCGGTTGAGTTGTAGGAATTTCTTATACATTCTGAATATTAGCCTCTTATCAGATATATAATCTGCAGATATATTCTGTGTGTTACCTTTTCACTGTTGGTTGTGTCCTTGATGCACAAAAGATTTTAATTTTGATGAAGTCCAATGTATCTATTTTCTCTTTTGTTGCCAGTGATTTTGGTGTCATATCCAAGAAATTGTTGCCAAATCTGATGTTATGAAACTTTTCTTCTATGTTTTCTTTTAAGAGTTTTATAGTTTTAGCTCTTACATTTAGGTCTTTGATTCATTTTGAGCAAATTTTTGTATATGCCATGAAAGGGCACACATTTTGAGCTATCTTTCCATTAGAGGGATGATTAGGTATTCCAGGGATAAGCACAGGCAGAGCTGGGGGGATGTCTGATGGGAGAATGACATGTTCTGGGAGCCCGAGTGAGATGTACAGTGGAGTGATGGGAGAGGAGGCTGGCAAGATGAGGACTTGAACTCTATCCTGCAGCTGGAAACATGTTGAAGTGTCTGCCATTATCAGATTTGATTTTAGAATGATCACTCTGGAGGTGTGTGAAGGATGGGTCAGAGTGTAGAGAAAATGAATCCTGGGAGGCCAGACAGAGGCTGCTTCTGGAGTGCAGGAAAGAAGCTCTAAGGTGCTGAACTCTGGCAGTGGCACTGGGGTGGCAGTTGGAGGATAAACTCACAAGATAATTAAGGCAGGACTTGGCGACCTGATGTGGGGGGTGGAAGAGAATCGTTGGGATAATTATTAGCTTCCTTGCTTGGGTAACTGGGTGATGAAGGTGCAATTAACTGAAAAAAAGACATGATATAATGTCTTGAGGCAGGGATTTTTGTCAGTTTGAGTTACTGCTGTATCCCCAGTGCTTAAAACGGTATGCCTGACTCATCGTAGGGACTAACTACATATGTAATGAAAGAACTAATAGAAAGAGAAGTTTTGTGGAGGGGATTGAAGATGAGTTCAGTTCAGATATCCGTGAACAGACACCTGATAGGGAGAACAGAAGAAAAAAAAACACTGTTCATAGAGTTATTAATTGTCACAATCATCCTAGAGGGTATTTTGGCAATATGTATCAAAAGCCTTAAAAATGAGCATATTCTTTGTCTAAGTAACCCGTGTCTAAGAATGTATCTTTTAACAAACTAACTAGCCATGATTATACACAAAGACTGCCTCAAGCTTATTCATCACAATGTTGTTTATACAATGATAAGCTAGATATAATATAATCAATACTAACTTATTATTTAATAGTTAGTATGAGCAAGGTAACCAGCAAAAATTAAGATGCATATCTATATTTAATACTATGAAAGAATATGTTATATATTTTAAGTGAAAAATTCAGATTATGAAAAGAAGATGCCATGTAATCCCTCTTTTTTTGTAAAACAAAGATGTACTACAAAATATTAACAGTAATTATCCATGTGGTGTGATTGTGGGTGATTTTTACTATTTTCTTTCACTTTTTTTTGTTTTCTCCAATGAATGAGTACTGCTTTTACAATAACAACAAACATATCTATTTTTAAAGAAATATACATATTGAGTTCAGGAAGCAAGATTTCTCTGGAAATTCAGATTCAATCAGCATGGTGTAGGATGCAGCTGTGTGATGCTAAACGAGAATACCAAGACAGAACCTTCAGGAACACTAATGTTTAAGGAATGAGATTAAAATAATGTAAATAAAATTCAAAGAAGTAGGGGACATCTCAGAGAGAAAGCAGTGCAGAGAAGTCCTAGGAAGTGAGATTTCAGGAAGGAGGGTCTGGTTAACATCATCAAACAGCAGAAGGGCTGAGTAAAGAAAAGTCCAAGAAACTTGTGTTGGTGTCAGTTGCACGGAGGCTCTTGATAGATGGGAGCCACTTCAATGGAGGCAATGGACAGAGCTGCTGGGGAAAGAAGAGAGATGAGTAAGGTCTCATGGACCTTGGGTAAAAGAGAAGGAGCATGACTGTGCAGTGACTAGAAGCACACAGTGTGGGAGATGATTGGTTGTCCAGCGAGCTCGTCTCAGCCCCTACTGGTGACATACAATATCGTTGCATTTCTCTCCATGATGGTAAGGCCAGATGATCTGGATGGAGTCCATGCAGTGCATGGTGTACCTGTGCTCTCCGAAGCTCCGCAGCCTGCACGAGCTGGAAGATTCAATATGCATCTTTCTGACATCGACCCGATGACACCACCAGGGATCTCATCCTCCTGAACCAGCAGCGGCTGGCTAAGATAGAGTTGTCCAATCGACTGGAAATGAAGAAGAAGGAAGAGCTATGGGTCCTCTTCAAGCACTTGGCCACCGAAAAGAAAAAAACAGAGACCTTGCTTTATGCTATGCTGCCCAAACATGTGGCCAACCAGTTGAGGGAGGGCAAAAAGGTGTCTGCAGGTAAGGCACCCTCTCCTGCACAGGGACCTCTGAGCAGAAAGTGGTATGTCTTAGTGGTCAGGGCCACAGGTTTTGAAGCCAGACAGAAGTGGTTTTGAATTCTGGTTCTGTCACTTGTAAGTGACATGATCTTGGGATAATTACTCCACCTGTATATTCTCAGCTTTGTTCTCTCTACATTGATAATAATAAAAATAATACAGGAGTAAAATATGAATTATATAAAAATGGTTGTCAACTACACACACATTAGGTTCTCTAAGAACGTAAGGATGTATCCTGAGACTGGCCTCATTACTCAGTGACAATGAGTAGGATTCTTAACTGTAACTAAAAATAATACACTTGCACACTGGTTAAATCACAGGGTTCCTCTGAGGATCATTCTGGGACAGTATACTATTTATGGAGGCAGGGATGCTGTGTTTACCCTGAACTCACTTTCCATTTGTCATGGGACTGTGTTCATTCACCAGACATGCCTGGTGAACTTACTCTGTGCCAGGGTGCTGTTCCAGATCTGGGGACACAGAGGAGTTTACAGACTTGTGAGTTTGATAGATATATGCAGAATAAATTAATGGATGTAGAAATGACCAATGGAAAAGAAATTAATCTGCGTTAAGGAGCAATTATTGTGCCAGGATCCGTGTTAGACATTTTACATGTGCTGTTTCATTAAATTTTCTCAACATTTCTATGAGGGAGGTGTTGCCCATGCCATAATGCTGAGCAAATTGACATTCAGCACAGCTGATAAGTGAAAGAGCTGGAAAGTAACTGTGTTAAGGCCATCTAACTTCAAAATCCATACTCTTTCCATCACATAAGGTGCTATGGCAACACGGGGACAAGGAAATTAATAATAAAGAGATGTCAGGAGAGAAAGAGATAGGGTGGCCAGTTGGGGTTGTGGAGGTACCTCTCAAAAGTGTGTGACACTTGAGTTGGGCCTTGAGGCTGAATTTCAGCAAGCAAAGAGGAAAAAGGCATTTCCGGAGAATGGGCTACTAAGAGCAAAGGTAAGGCAATGTGCAAATAAATACCATGGGGCATGTTCCCAGAGCATGAGGTATGTGGAAAAGTGGGGTCTGGTGAGGCTGAGTGGGTAGGGTTGAGGTTCAGGTGATGCAGTGATTAATCTGGACTGTTAAGGAAAAGGAAATTGTCTTTTATTTTGTAGGCAGTGAGAATTCATTGAAGTTTCTTCTCTTATTATGGAAGTGACATGATGAGTTTTATAAATCCAATTTGGGCTGCAGTGTAGTGAATACGTGAGGTGGGGCTGAAAGCCCTTAAGGGCGCAGCTGATTGATGGTAGAGGCCTGAACTAGGGCAGCCTAAGGAAGAATCAGCAGGATTTCCCCACTGACCAGATGGAGAAGGTAAGACAGAGAGGGCAGGCATGGGTCTGAGGCTTCTTGCATGGAAAAATGGGATGATTTACCATAAGGCAGGGCCAGAAAGAAGAGCAGGGTTGGGGGAGAGTGATAAGGTCCATTTTAGAACCACTGAGCTGGAGATGTCTGTGGGATACTCCACATAGGATGATCAGAGGTAGGAATCTTAGTGAGAGCTCAAGGGAACATTGTGGCATGGAGCTATACATCTGGGAGTTATTGCAAGGTGGGCGGGGTTAATCATAGACTCTGTGAATGGTGGATAAGATCACCTAGAGGACAGGAAGTGAGAAGAGAGCGGAGTATTACTGTTCAGGGAACATCTAGTACTTAAGAAGGTTGAGAAGCCAAGGAAAGATATAAAACAAGGAAATCAGAAAGCTAGGAGGAATATGAAGAGAGGATGATAGGCCAGAAGCCAAGGAGAAGAGAAAGTTTCACGAAGGGGGAATTACAATTAGAGGCTTAACTAACAAAGAAGGCACCCGGCTGCGTTCAAGGAGTCATTGATTCACTCACTTAATATTTATTGAGCATCTACTATGTGCCAGGCCCTGCTTTAGGTGCTTGGGATACAGCAGAGATCTAAACTGACAGTCTCCCATCTCATGGAGCTTTGTGTTCTAATGCAGAGGTAGACAAAAACCAAATAAACCATTCCATACAAAATATCGGGTCGGGCGCAGTGGTTCACGCCTGTAATCCCAGCACTTTGGGAGGCTGGGCTGGCGGATTGCCTCAGCTGAGGAGTTTGAGACCAACCTGGGCAACATGGTGAAATCCTGTTTCTACTAAAAATACAAAAAATTAGCCGGGCATGGTGGTGTGTGCTTGTAGGACAGCCCAGCTACTCAGGAGGCTGAGGCAGGAGATTTGCTTAAACCCAAGAGGCAGAGGTTGCAGTGAGCCGAGATCGTGCCACTGCACTCTAGCCTGGGTGACAGAGCGAGACTCTGTCTCAAATATATACACACACACACACACACACACATACAGACACACACATACACACACACACACACATATATACATAATATCACATGTGTATGGAGTGGGCGGAAGGCAATCAAGTAAGAGGATAGCCAGTCTAGGGGCTATTTTATACAGGGTGGTCAAGAGAATTCTCACTGAGTTGGTTACATTTGAAATGTGAGTAACAGGCCCTGTAGATATTTGAGAAAAGTGTCAGGCAGAGGAAACACCTCTTTTCTTCGGTGTAGAAGCCCGAAGGCAGGAGGCACTTGGCATGTTGGAGAAACCCCATGAGGCCAGTGTGGTCAGAGTGGAGGGAGCCGGAGGGACATGGGGTCAGAGAGGTGGCAGGGACAGAGGTGGGGGGTCTCCTCTGTAGGCCAGGGTCAGGCCTGGGTTGCATTGGGTTGCACTCTCAGTGTGATGGAATCATGAAAGATTGGAGATTGAAGAATGGGAGACCTGACTTAAACAGGGCATCTGGTTGCTATGTGGAAGTTAGCATGAATGGGGGCCAAGGTGGAATCAGGGGCATGACTTACGAGCAAGTGTTGAGGACAAGGTAGCTTCCCTGTCATACAAAGACGGGGAGCTACCACTTCACAGTGACCAGTCTCTGTCAGCCCTGTCCCCAGGTCTCCTGTAGCTCAGGCTCTGCTTGGTCCACTTACTAGGGACCCTTTCTGTCCTCCCACAGCACTGGTTGCATCTTACTAGAAGCATTTGTTCACTTTTCTGTCTCCTTCATTCGACTGCGGGCTCCTTGGGGGCGAGGGCCTGGTCTGCTGGCCCCCTGTGATATGATTCTCCTAGTGTGACTAGCTTGCAGCGAGCACTCAGTAAACGTTTGCTGAGTGATGCTGAATGGGGAATGGTGTCTGGCTCCTTTTCCCACAAGCCACAGGCAGGTTTGATTCTCAAAGGGCCTCTGAATCCAGAATTCATGGACTTATTAGTCTATCTCCTTGGTTCTCACTGATACCTGGTTTCTGCTGTAGGAGAATTTAAAAGCTGCACGATTCTTTTCAGCGATGTGGTGACATTTACTGACATCTGTGCTGCCTGTGAACCTATACACATAGTGAACATGCTGAACTCCATGTACTCCAAGTTTGACAGATTAACCAGTGTGCACGCAGTCTATAAAGTAAGCGTCTGTGCAGTGTGGGGTGTTACACGGCATGCTCACGCAGGGCAAGTGCTTGATTCTAAGTCTTCCTTTGCCTCTGTCTTCACTGGTCTGGGGTTTGGTGTGGATGAGTGTGGGCTCAGAATAAGAGCTGAAAGGAAATGGGAAGTATTTTAGGAATTCTAGTTTTTAGGAATTCTTTTTATAATACTCAGTGCTAAGATAGCACTCTGGTGCCCTTGAAGGGCAAACACTGTTGCCCTAGAGCATCGTTCTCCTACTCCTAAATTCAGCAGAAAGTCGAATCCAAACAATGTGTTATCTCATATATAGCATCACATGACTACCCCAGGACCTTCCTCTTCTCTGGAATTTGTTTCCGCCCAAAGCAGAAAGGCCTTTTGGCTCTTTCATGTTTGTTTCCTGTGTCCTTTTCCTTCTCACCTCCTGCTTCATGCTCCTCATACCCTTAGCAAAGAGTCAATCACCAGCTTTAATATAGTCCCTTTGTCAATATATGCAAAATGAAAAAAAGCATAGTGACATGTTTAGTGCATGAAGGAAACCCTGTGAATACCCATTTTTTTTTTCCTTACAGGTAGAAACAATAGGAGATGCTTATATGGTGGTAGGAGGCGTACCAGTGCCTACTGGAAGCCATGCTCAAAGAGTGGCTAATTTTGCCTTGGGGATGAGAATTTCTGCAAAGGAAGTGATGAATCCTGTTACTGGAGAACCCATCCAGGTAGAGGGCAACTGAGTATTTGGCTTAATGCCAAACATCTCACACACAAAACTAGAATTCTGCTTATGTGCTTAGGTGATTACTGAGTAAGTTGCCGTCATTAAAATGGGTAATGCATCCTAGTCCTTTTCTTCTCTTGCATATGTTCCTAATAGAGATATTCCTAAGGCTACTATAGTCTCAACTTTTCTCAAATTTCAGAGGAGGCTGCGGTGCTCAAGGTTTTCCTACAATTGACTGTAAGCTTCCTTTGTCAGTAATTTAGGACAGTGCTGAGCAGTTCTTCCTATTTATCTAGCAGGGCTCAATCCATCTTAAAAACTAGCTCATTTATAATTCCTGCTTTTTTGTTCAAGCATTTCAACAAGTGGTTCAGGTTTACTGAGCAGCCAACTTTTCCTGCTTATGAAATCGTGTCTCCAACATGCCATCTGACAGGTTCAGAACTCAGGCTGAGGTGTGAAGCTGCCTGCAGTCAGCAGGCCAGGCACCATCATGCCATAAGATATTCAGAATGGCTTTCCTTCCACCACGTGGCCACTGGCGAGACATCTGCTCGCCTTTCTCACAGAAAAGTACGTTTCCAAGTCTGGAAGTTTGTTCACACTCTAAAAGTTGAACAGTTTTGGAGATGAAAAATGAATGTCCTCCTCCGCTGGCTCAGCAGATCCTAATGCTCCTGGGATGGCTGAGAGTGGCGTCTGTCTGCCTTTGATTTCTAGATCCTTCTCTTGCTATTATCATCAGAAATTCAAAATAAATGAGTCAATTCAAGATAGAGCCAATTATAAGATGGACTATGATTTTTCCACATTATAACCTTTTTACAGGAGAGTTTGAAAATGTGCTGCACTTCCTCTGACCATGGTGAGTTAGAAGCTGAGAAACAGTGCAGTTCATGGCTACAGCGTTCACTGTAGTCTTCTAAGTAGAAGCTGGCCTTAGGTAGTCACAAGAACAAGACAGCTGCCATAATGACTCATTGCAAACACTGTGTGCATCAGTGGAATAAAAATCCAATGTAATAAACAAAAAATCAGGATGGGAGGTAATGAGGGAAGAGATATAAGAACATTAGATAAGAGATAAATGTTTCAGTTAAAGGACCCTTGTATAAGTCACTGGTGAAAAAATAAAAATAAAAATGGAAAGCGTAGTGTGTGTGTGTGTGTGTGTGCACGCGTCTGTGTGTGCGTGTGCGTGCACGTGTGTGTGCGTGTGTGTGCGTGTGTGCATGTGTGTGTACGTGTGTGTGCATGCATGTGTGTATGAAAAGGGCATAGTGCTAGAGATTAAAATAATGCTACACCAATAAGAATGAAATAGACAGTGAATTCTAGGAAACACTCAAGGTGGATTTACCAAGAAAAAAACAGGAAAAGATGTTAGCAATTCCAAGGTAAGAATATGGACATAATTAGGAGCATCATTAAATATCCACCAGAAAGAGCATATCATATGGGTTTATTCGAGGATATAGGGGAAAGAACTGGAAACGCTTTCTCTCTTAACAGAATTGTGCTGCCATTTCTACATTTTAAAAATTATTTTGCACTGAGATATTCTATTATTTTATTCATATAGCTTTAATATACATTTACTGAGATCCGTCCATGTATGAGACAGTATTACTAGGTGCTTTGAAGGGTTCAGAGACTCCTCTTTTTCTAGAGGAAGTTATAATATTATTTCAAGGAGAAGAAAATCTAGCAAGTAAAAACAACAAGCAACCTGATTAGGATGTAGAAAGCTGCAAGACACTGTTGCTCCCAGGCTAGCAGTTTTTTATTTTTTATTTTTATTTTTATTTCCCACCAGAAAGCAAAGGAATCAAAGTAAACTAAATTCCAGTATGTAACAAACCCTTTCAAAGAGAAGACCCTCATAATTGCATTCAATCCTGGCAGGGCAGCAGAAGAAGTAATCTTCCAGAGGTGAGGGTAGGGATAAACCCGTCTAAATTTTAGTGGATTTTTAATGGTCACAGGGCTGAAACAACAAGTTACAATGCCAGAGCGCAGCAGACACAGAGTCTAGACCCATCTACCAACTCTTTCTCATAGGCCAAGTGTGGGGGGTTAGTCAGCCAAAGACTAGGACAGGAGAGGAAAGCTGAGAGAACTCCCGAGTCCCTGAGGTGTTTGGGGCCTTTCCCAAATGCAAAGCGGTGGCCCATGAAAGGCTAATGTTAGAGTAAGATAACCAAGAGAAATCCAGCTGAAGTACTCTTTATCTTCACCAAGTACACTACAATGACCTTTTGAAGTCTGAGGGCAAGGAGGAATGGCAGAGAAAATTTTCCCGAAGTGCAGAGAGCCAGGTTGGGACTGAAGAGCAAAGAGACTTCTGAAAATCTCACTGTTGGACTGTACTGCAGAAGGAGATCTCCTACAACTCCAAAAGCTGGTGGATGGGCTGTACAGCACTCAAGGTCCTCAGAGCCTTGCTGGTGCTCAGATTCTAAGTTCTGCTGTACTGAAAGTTCTGATTCAGCCTTCATAATATTTGAAACCTGTGGTGCATGGAATCTACCAATATTTCCAGAAAAGCCCTGACCCAACTCAAATATGGATTAGATTACTCCCCATTCCAGCAGCCTAATTCTGAAGGGATGTAACATTTTCTGGGGGATAAATGTTATCTACTTCAGTCTCTACTGTATTTTCACCCACAATATGGATCATTCAATTAAATAATAAAAAATATGAGATGCAAGAAGAATCAAGAAAATGGTAATATAGTGGATAGCCAATAGAGAAAATAGTCAATAGAAGCAGGTCCAAAAATAGCCTAGATGTTGGAATTATCAGATAGAATTTTTAAAATAAGTCTGATAAATATTTTAAAGAGTCTAGAAGAGGCAAAACAAGTGTGAAGATATGGGAAATACATACATACTATCTATATTTACATCTATATCTATATCTAATAGAAAACTATGATCTCAGAAATCAGAAATAAAGAATTAATTTTATGGGCTTAACAAAGACTAGACACAATAGAGAAAAAAATGAGGGAATTTGAAGACAGAGAAATAGAAATCATCCAAACTGAAATTCAAAGAAGAAAACAGTGAAAAGGGGAGCAAGACACTCTATATCTGTAGGACAATATCAAATGGACTCCTATATACGTAACTGAAATGCTAGAATGAGAACAGAGTGAGAATGGGTAAGAAGAACTATTTCAAGAGATAATAGTTAAGAATTTTTCAACATGAAGGATATCAATGCACATATCCAAAGCTCAGCAAACCCAAGCAGAATAAATACAAAACAACCACTTCTAGTTAAAGTATACCAAAAACCCTACCCAGTGCACTAAGGCAAGAAGAATAAATATAAGACATTAAGTTTGGAAATGAATGAAGAAATAAAATTATCATTATTCACAGAACAAATAATGGTGCACCTAGAAAATCTTATACAAACTACAGGAAACTACAAGGTCTAATAAATGAGTTTAGCAAGGTCATAGCATAAATACAGGAAAATTATTTAAATTTTTATATGCTAAGGACAAAAAAATTGAAAAATGAAATAAAAAGAAAATAAAATTATTTAAATTTCTAGGAATAAATCTAACAACAGATATACATGACCTCTATGCTTAAAACTACAAGATATTGCTTAGGGAAATTAAAGAAGACCTAATTAAATGGAGATATACACCATATTCATTGGAAAACTCAATATATTTAAGCTGTCTGTTTTCCCCAAATTGATGTATAGATTCAGCAGAATACCAAACAAAATCCCTGCAAGCTTCTTAGAAAATAGTCATACGTTAATTTAAAAATTTATATGGAAGTGTAAAGAACCTAGACTAACCCGAACAATCTTAGAAAATAACAAAATTGGAGGATGTACACAACTAATTTTAAGACTTATTCTAAAGCAACAGTAAAAAAATACAGAGTTAGATTGGGAGAAGAACAGAAAAAGAGACCACTGGAGCAGCACAGAGTGTCCAGACATAGACTCACGTTTAGTCCATTGATTTTTGACCAAGTCATCAAACAATTGAGTGGGGAAGGCAACCTGTTTTTTATAAAAGGATTCTGGTACCACTGAATATCATATGGAAAGAAAAAATGTACCTCACTTCTACCTCACCCCATATACAAAAAGATCTTTTGATATGTATCGCAAATCTAAACATAAAATCTAGAATCATAAAGCTTCTTGATGGAAATAAAGAATAGCATCATGACTTTGGGGCAAATGTTTTTTTTTTTTTTTTTTATAGGACACAGAAAAAACACTGACCATGAAGGGGAAAAAAATGATAAATTTCATTGTTACAGGCTGAATTGTGTCCTACCCAAAATTCTTATTTTGAAACTGTAGTACTCAGTACCTCAGAACATGATTGTCTTTGGAGCTAGGCTACCTACAGGTAGCCTTCCATTTATTCATGCCTTCCTTTGTCCCTCCCTCTTTCCAGAACTTATAGAGTGCCTAGCAGCCATGGGACGGGGTAGTGGAGGAAACTCGTGCTTTTTCTTCCACGTCTCAATGGCTTACAGAAGATATTGTGGCAGACAATAAATTTTGTTGTGCTTCTAACTGTAACACAGTTTTTACTCTCAAGGAGCATGTAGTTTAGTTCAGAGAACAGCAAATTATAACCCCACAGACCAAATCTAGTCTGCTGCTCATTTTTGTAAATAAAGTTTTCTTGGAACACAGCCATGCGCTTTCATTTACATATTGTCTATGGCTGATGTCATGCTACAAAGGCAGAGTTGAATCACTGCAACAGAGACCATATGATATACAAAGTCTAAAATATTTACTCTCTGGTCTTTTATATAAAAAGTGTGCTGACCTTTGTTCTAGCAGAAGAAAAAAGAAAAGTTGCAGTTAGTTATTTTTAAAGTGAGAGGAGTACAATGATAAATATGTGCATAAAACAATACAGTTTCTTGAGCACTTACAGTAGGCCACATTCTATTCTAAATTCTTTCATATGTTAATTTATTTACAGTTGCAACAGCTCTGTGAAGATACATTATTATTACGTACATGAAAGAAAAGGCACAAAAAGGTTAATCATTTGCCTCAGGACCAGGTAGGCTAGGAAGGAGAACAGCCTACATGCAGCCCACGAAGTCAGGGTTCACAGTCCTCCCTTTAACTGCTGCACTCTTATCCCCAAGGGAGTCACAGAGGGTGCCATGAGAGCCCAGGCAAGGGTACTTGACCCACTAATAAAAAAGGGCTTCGTGAAGGAGATTCCTGAGCTGAATCTTGAAAAAGGAGTTCCAGAGTAAAATTTAGCCAAAATTGGGGTATTGGGAGTAAAAAGCAGGTACAGGCTCACATGTGGAAGAGGTGCAGAGAACTATAAACACCTGAGCTTTTCTGTATTGGAAAATATGAGACAGGAGTTATGAGAGCTGCACATGCCTTGCTGAAGGGCAAGGGCCCTATGCCATAGGTGAGGAAAAAACCCCAAGGAGTGTGAGGTTGAAGACAGTGACAGGGTCAGGGTCCTATTTGACACTGACCACTCTAGAGACCCTGAAAGGACATATTTGAAGACCAGAAAATGAGATAGATGAGACCTGCTAGGAGTTTGATCTGAATCAGAACATTAGTGGTAGGAATATGGGGGAAAATAAAACCAGCTAAACTAGTTAGAAATGGGGGAGGAGAAGAAGGGAGGAGCCCGGGTCTCCATTTTGGGTGGACTAGGGCTCAAATGGTGGCCCCACCATCTGCAATGGGACAAATGAGAAGTATCCCAGATCACAGGGGCAGACAATGAGTTCAGGTTGGACACATTGGGTTCAAAGGAACTGTGGAACACTCAGCTAGAGGTACCACAAAATGGATGGATGAAGTTTGGAGTTGAGTTGTTCAAGATCCAGACTTGGAGTAAGCAACATATAGGTGGTAATTAAAGTCATGAGAGTTGATGAGATCAACCCAGGGAAGGATGCAGTATGCAAAGAACAGTGGGAAAAGAAAGGAATCCTGTGCAGGACCAACATTTAAGTGGCATAGAAGGAAGACGAGCCCATGGAAGAGACAGAAGAAGAAATAGTCAGAAAGGACCAGGAGAGTTCAGGGTGAGAAGCACTCTTGTAGATGACTGTAGGAAGGAGGAATTGAACAAAAATGTCAATTGTAGTAATAAGGATGGAAAAATACTCACTAGAGGTTTTGGGGACATTCTCAAAAGTGGTTGTAGTAGAATGGTGGGATAGACATTGGGCTGAAGAATAAAAAGAAGAGAAAATTTTATGGGATTAAAGCAGGTGAGAGGCTGTTTGTTTGCTTCTGTTTAGGATGGAAGAGACATAAGCACACTGAAAAGCAGAAGGAGAAAGGCAAATGGAGTGGGAGCTGAAGATAAGGGTGGGGTGGCCAATGGAGCAAGGCCCAGAGGTGGTGGGAAGGGGGCATGTGTGAGGAGCCCCTGGACAAGAAAGATACCTCATCCTCGGAGATTGGGGGACAGGATGGTGTGGTCATGGGGTGAGAAGTCACAGGCTCTCACTTGTAATTAATGTAATTTTCTAGATGAACCAGGGCATAAAGTAGGAGGCACAGCCACCAGCATAAAAGTGAGGGGAGCAGATGCCAAATGGAGGCACATGAGGAGTGTGGTGAAGGTCTGAACTCTCTACCAACCTGGCCAAGGACAAGGGAAGCCTCGATGGACTGCCGAGGCAGGTGGTCATGAATTTGAATCCTCGTTATCCTCGTTGGTTTGAGTGGTTCTTTGGCTTTTCTCCAACATCACTTGGTGGACAGTAAATAAATAAACAGGAAAACATTTTGTAATTACTTTGTAGCTCTGTCTCTTTTCATGGTCCCTACCCTATAGTCCTCCTCTTCAGTTCCTCTGCAGACAGAAATTATGGTGGAGAAAGCTTGGGTAGTTAGGATGAGCATAGTAGCAAGCATGGGGTATATGGTGCACTTGGGGAAGATGGAAAGAAGAGTACTGATACTCAAGAGCCTTACGTGGCAGAACCATGAAAGGTGGTGTCCACACGGGCACTGACAGCATGGTGTGTAGAAACGTGAGAGATGCCCAGATGAGGGGTGAGCTGGAGGGAGGAAAATTGGTGGCAGGGTTGGGAGGGTTCTGGTGGGTCTCTGTGCTCTCTTTTGGCCTTTGGCATCCTGTTCAGAATATCTCATCCTCACTTTCCCCATGGCCCCTGTCCCACTTCAGCAGGCTGATGTCTGGGATCCTCCCTCCTCTGCTGTTGTGTGTCCTGTGTCCTGGACTTTTCCTCTTGAGTAGCCCTTTGCATTGTAGCCAGCTCTTGACTTACAGACTCACAATCTTTGATGTCTGATGCATTTTTTTTTTTTCTCTGTGCAGTGCCTTAAAAAATCAAGGGTTTGAAATCATTGAGAGGGGTGAAATCGAAGTGAAAGTTAAAGGGAAAATGACCACATACTTTTTGATCCAGACCTTGAATGCCGCAGAGGACAAGATCATGGGGAGATCTAAAACCCCACTTGATCACAAGGGTAAGCAAAAAAGAGAAGCTTTGCCATTAGTGTTGAGTAGTTTTTCCACTAACTACCTCAGATATGTTTAGTATCTGCAGGGTCAACACAGATGGTGTCCCTGCCCCCCACGGAGCTCCAAGACTCAGTTCAACCATCTTGCCCTGAACACTCTTCTCTTGTATCCTGGTTATGATGATGTTCTTTGAGCTGGGCCGATAGATCCAGCTGAAGAGTTCTACATACATTTGTCTTCAGGTTCTTCTCTGGGCGTTTCCCATGCAGCTCTCTGGTAGCTGGGGAATGATTTGTGAGTGCTTCCTCTGCTCCCCAGCCTCAGAGGCTCCAGCACAGGCTTCCCTCGCATGCTGGAACATTTTGCCTTTCACATTTTGTTCTAGCTTCCAAAACTGGGATGAGGGACAACATTTGTGACTCACCCAGCTCCAGGAATGACAAGAGGGTGGGAGTTTAGGGTAAAACAACCCAGTGCTAAGCTGGACCAGGGATTACTGTTTGGCTCATGGTACCCCCAAAAGAAGCTGGAATCCAATGGCGAGGTCTCCATCAGCTGCAAGGCTGATCAATCCCACACACTCAGGGTCCCTTAGCTACAGCCTGGCTAAGACGGAAGTGCTGACCTGAAGGGGAAACCCGGTAGCAGGAGGCAAGCCTTTCTGAACCTCCAAGAAGGGAATGAATTCCTTCTGACATGAACTAATCTGTAGCCACTCCCGAGGCCCACAAGGGGAATCTCAAAGTCCAGAGATTCCTTATTTACACAGCTATTATATGCAGTATGTCTCTTTGGGACATGTGGATTATGATGACTATTTTTTAAAGTGGGACTATCCCAAAGAAAAGATGGATTATTTGAAGAATGTTTAAAATTGTCATAATGCTTTCATTCTAATTTCAGCTCACCTTAGTATCCCTGTGAGTTATAGTTGGTTTAGGTCACATTTTACTGCTGTAGACACTGAGATACAAAAATCTAAACAAAAAACAAGAAATAACTTTGGCAATAAGGACCAGGAACAGTCCTCACTAGAGCTTTTAGCCCCAGAATTTCCAGGCTCTGGGCACCTCATCCACTGATATCTCCCGCTCCCTCCCACCCACCATCATGCCAGCCCCACAGTACAGAGGGTTTCTAGAGAGAAGTCAAACGAACTTTCCCCCCTTTTCTCTTCTTCGTTGTCAAGAAATGGACAAAGTAAAGTGGGGAGAGGGCATCATGCCACGTGATCATTGGAGAGGGGAAGGCAGGGCTGGAGGTTTTGCCACAGGACAGGGCAGAGGGGTCTCAGCTGTGCCTGGCTCTAACCCCACACTGCTCTCTCCCACTCGTCTGCTGAGGGTTCCCACGCTTCTTAGAGAAACAGTATTCTGGAGCGAAGTCTGAGTCAGTAGAATCAAACCCACTTTCAGTTCTGAGCTAGGGAAAAGTAACCCCGAGTAGAAAGTGAGGAAGCGTGCCTTAACCGGGAGCCCTCAGAATGGAGCCTGAGAAAGAGGAGGGAGGGTGGGTGTGAAAGGAGGGCAGGGGATAGCAGCCCCCATCCCCCAAGGCCCCAGTCAGTGTCTCTGCAAATTAAGAATAAGGACCCTTTTGTGGGGTATGGGTTGACAGCCCCCAGACATGGCTTATCGTAGAGGAAAATGGCAGCCTTCTGTGTGGGCTTAGGTCAGTCCTCACCCTGAAACCCTTGGCCAGGTGCCTCTATGTAGAGAAAACTGCACAAACATATATGTGGTCCCAGGAAGGAAGGATCCCAACCCTTTTCTTGTCATGCTTCTGTGCATTTCCCAGTCCCCTCTCCCTTTCCCCAGCAGCCTTGGATTTCCTGCTGTGAGCCTCAGCCCCCAGGCTCTGGGGGAGGGTGAGTCTGTCTCTCCCTGCCTGCCTTCATCTGCCCTCAGTGCAGCACAGGGAGGGTGGGCAGCGGGGGCTCCAGCAGGAAGGCCAGGCACTCTCAGGGGAGACCTCATGCGGATACTGCTTCCTAAGGAACCCCATTAACTTCCGGGGGCTAGGGTGTTTTCTCCCAGTGACCACTGACAGCTCCATGAGGCAAGATAGAGCCTCTCAAAGACAGTCATGGGGGAGGGGCATGGAAGCACTATTATGTTCACTGATACTCTTTTCACATGGGTCTATTCCCTCAGATTATCTCCCACAGGACACACACTATGTTTTGGGGGGTGGTTACTTAGGGAGGAGCAGGAGTGAGGCCACTTCAGTGATTCTAAGGTGCAGTCAGCATTAAGAACTATGTCTAAGACCAAAGCAATGCAGAAGAAAGGGCCCTACAGGGTCTTTCTTGTGCCCCACTCCACCCTAGCACAGAGAGACCCAGAAGGTGAAAGGAACAAGAAAGGGTAATGTCCAGGAGAGCTCTTCCTCAAATGAGTGTCCTCTCCTCCACTTTGTTCTCAGACAGTGCATTTCCTTGTTCTAGGCAATGAGTACATGAAACATGTCAAATGTCCTTCAGCCTCCCTAGCACGACATCCAACAGCTGGAACTTCCATCCAGTCCTTCACATGATGGACACCTGTGGGAAACCTGCCAGGTGCAACCGATGTTCAGAGGCATCCAAAAAGTCTCCCACTTCGGCCGCCATGAAGCCCACTCATGCAAGCATCCTCACTTTTCCTTCCTCTCACGGTTTCTTTGCAGAAGCAAGTGCTCAGGGAAATCAAGACAAGAGAACTGTCATGAGCTATGCCGACAGTCAGCAGCTGATCCCCAACAGAGACACAGCAGACGCAGACGGTGAGTACAGCGGGCCTGGTCTAAAATACTTCCAGCCCTGCGTTGCTCCTAAAGACAATCGGACCCTTCAGAGGTCACTTCGTGGGCAGTGAGAAAGAGCTGGGAAGGGATAGCACAGCTGGTGTTTGGGGTTCTGGGGCAGGATGCTACTGACTTGCTCGCTGTATTTTGAATAAACTGTTGTTTTGAGCACCCCCATCCCAGGTGTCCCAAGGGATCTCATTCTGGCAGGGCCTTCTATACTCGCTTCCAAAAGAATCTCTAATAGCAGAAAAACGTATTACTTTCTCTGCATCCACCAAATGTGTGTCCACCAAAGTTTCTCTGGACAGCGTGGCCCTCAGTAGCTTGCCTTGTCTTACTAAGGAGGGCTGAGACTTCCTCTTCCTGCACTGTCTGGTGCTTTACAGAGACCTCAGGGCAGAGTAGCCCAGTTACCCTCTTCTCCACTTTGTCCTGAGGGTCGTAGGGACAGGAGGGTTTGCTTAATTCATGCTTATCTGGATGGCCTTGGCAGTCATTCAGCTCCCTCAGAGCCAGAGCCATTCTCAGGACTGACAAGGCTTGGTTTTGAGTATGGAGTCACAAAGTAATAATGAAGAACCAGGGATGGGTGGACAACAGGAACCCCTGTAGCAGCAGCTCCCCCATCCCTTTCTAGAACCCCCTTGCTAGGTGATCCATGTGGAGTTAAGTGAGGCTTGGCCACAGTATGTGTTTGTTAGAGGGGATCACATCTCATGCATTTTCTAAAAACCATCTCTAGTCACTGAGGCAATGTCTTAAGACAAATAAACTAATCCATGTGATGAGTTAGAACAGCTTAATAATCCATATAAAAAGTCCAGCTCTCGTTATCTTTACTAGACAACATCTCTAAAGTTGAGTGTCGCTTGAGCCCTTGGTGTTGGCACTGCCCTGATGGCCAAAGGCTTCCCTTTAGCTTCATCCTAGAACCTGAGGTTGAGGGAATGAATAGCAGCCTTCTGTTCATTTCAGGTGAGAGGAGACAGAGCAAAGCTTCTGTCACTCTGATCCTGCGGTCAGACGGACGTTCGAATTCTGGGACATGAGAAGCTCAAAGCAAAGTTGTTGCCTTTGCCTGGAGGCATTTCCCTCCCGTCCCCACTCCTCTCCTTCCTGGAGTGGCATGTTTCCGGCAGTGCCCCAAACCCTGAATAGTTGTTCAACCTATTACAGGATAGAATTATAACACTCATAGATCCATTTGATAGTGTTCCTTGGAAAACTGTTGCTGCTGCAGGAACGGACTAAGCATCTAATCACTGTCCAGGGATCTGCAATGATCACTGAACTAAACACATGAGGTCCCTGCCTTTGGGCAGCTTGCGGTTTAGTAGAGGGAGACAATTAACATGTAACTAAACAAATAAGATCATTTGGGTAGTGATGAATGTTAAGAAAAAAAATAAAACTGATAGAGGGCCAGTGAAGCCTTCTGAGAGGGAGCAGCATTTCAGCTGAGACTTGGATGAAGGAAGAACCCCCATGTGGCTACCTGGGTAGGGGCTTCCAGGCAGCACTGTGCCCAGGGCAGAAACAGCCTTGGCAAGTTCACAGAAGACAAGAAGACCAGTGTGCCTGGGAAGGGCTGCAAGAGGAAGGGAGCCAAAGGGATGAAATCAGACAGGTGCATGGGTGCCTGGGACAGTCTTGGCCTTGGGACCGCTTATTGATGTGCAAAAAAGCATGAGCATGAAATAAGGGGTAGGTGAGGAGGTGCTGGAGCTCCCTGGGGACCTTCAGAGGGAGAATGGCTCTGCCATTTGAATTCCTAAATGGCAGTTCCATAAACAGCTCAGAAGGGAAGGTCTTAAAACTCTTTATGCTCCAGGAAGATGAGTAAATTCATTTTTCAAACTTCTGCTGGGTGGGAGATGGGGAGGTCCCGCCACAGGGACCAACAGAGCTGGATGTCTTGCTTAGAGGTGAGAGACAAAAATTTCACAGCACCTCTTCTAACTGTGGCTTTCCTGGACGGAAAGCAACACTGACAACTAGAGAAGGAAAAAATTGAGGCCACCTCAGATTTGAGGGGAAACTTGAGGGGTGAACTGGCATTTTTTTGGCAACTACTTTGTGCCAGGCATTTTACCCACATTATCTTATTTACACAACAGTTATATAAGGTCCCACAACTAGTAAGTGGAAGAAATAGCATTTGATCTTCATTTCAGACTTGTTTGTCTTGGGCAGATCACGTCCCTGTGAGTTAGTTTTGAGCATCAGACCAAGACAATTCCATAGTTTCCCTAAGTGGCAGCCATTGCACTTGAACTGCTTGGGTTGACAGTGGTCCAGCCATGTGTCTCTCAGATCCTCCGGGCCCCATCTGAACAGATCTCTGATTGTTCGCTGTGATTAGCAGGTGTTTTAATGAGGAAGCACTCCCACACTGTGGGTGCATGACAGACTGCACCAGAATGTCATTGGACCCAAAGCTACCTACACCCAGATGTATTGAACCAGAAACTGCTCTTTCACAATGTGCCCCAGTAATTTGAGTTTGAGTTTACCACCGACATAGGTTTCTTCCTTATCTCTGACAGT